GGCCGAGCCCCCCACTCACATCCTGGGCCCGGCCCAGCGCCTGCAGCAGCCCCGGGGGTCCCGGGGGGGTCCCGGGAGGGTCCCGGGGCGGGGCCCGGGGGAAGTCCCGGTGCTCCCGGGGCCGCACCCGCAGCCGCCGCCCCTCCAGGACGTGGCGGGGCTCATCCAGCGCCCGCTGCCGCCCCGCGGCGTCCTGCAGCTCCACGATGGCGAACAGCCCCTGTCGCGACAGGCGAGCGCCATGGGGAGGGGGCCACCCAATCCCCCCCACACACACTTCGTCCTTGACTATCGCGACAATCGCGGCACGCCCCGAGAGCCCCAAAATTTCCACCCGAGGTCCCGCGGGGGCGGGAGCCGCGGGGTGCCGACCTCCCTCCCCGCCTGTCGCGACACGGCCGAGGCCGCCCGCACCTTCTCCTTGTCCATGACGACTGTCGCGACCGGCCCGAAGGCGCGGAAGTGGCGCCGCAGCTGCTCGGGCGCGGTGCCGCGGGAGAAGCCGCTGACGAAGAGGCTCCGCTGCTCCTGCGCGCGCCGCTCGAACCGGAGCCACCGGAGCCGCCGGTGCCGCCGCCCGGCCAGGTGCGAGCGCAGGCTGGGAACTGCCGGGGGAACGGGACAGCGGGAATGGGAATAGAAATGGGAATGGGAACACCGGGAACGGGACAGCGGGAATGGAAATAGAAATGGGAATGGGAACACTGGGAACGGGACAGCGGGAATGGAAATAGAAATGGGAATGGGAACACTGGGAACGGGACAGCGAGAATGGGGACGGGAACACCGGGAACGGGACACCGGGAACGGGAATAGAAATGGGAACAGGAACACCGGGAATAGGGACGGGACAGCGAGAATGGGCCAGCGGGAACGGGACACCGGGAATGGGAATAGAAATGGGAACGGGACACCGGGAATGGGAACGGGACACCGGGAACGGGAATAGGAATTGGAACGGGAACACCGGGAATGGGAACGGGACACTGAGGATGGGAATGGGACACCGGGAACGGGACACCGGGAATGGGAGCAGGAGTTGGGTACACCGGGAATGGGAGTGGGGACACCGGGAGCAGGAGCTGGGGGCACCGGGACAGGGAGGGACCCACGGGAACGGGAACTGGAGTCATGGAAACCCCCCCAGACCGGGAATTGGGGTCCCGGAGATCCCCGGTTCCGGTTAAAACGGAGCTTAGAGCCCTCGGTGTTCTGGTGAACAGGGTCCCGGAGCCCGGCCCGGGCACGGGAACCGGGGAGTCACGGGAGGGTCCCGGAGCCGCCGGTCCCGTTAACCGGTAACCACCGCCCCCGGTGCCAGGGTCCCGGAGCCCCGGCAGCACTCACGGTTGGCCGCGGTGATCTGGCACAGGCGGCAGCGGAAACCGCCCCGGTGCAGCGGCTCCACGTCGGGGTCGGCGGCCGGGTCGGTTACCGGCACCGGGCCCGTTACCGGGTCGCGGCCCGGCTCCATGTCGCGATCGAGCCCCGGGGCGGGATCAGGGCCCGGCTCCGGTTCCATGGCG